TTGGCTAAATATTTGTTTTTTTTCTTACAAAATTAAACATACATTTACTCTTTATTTTAGCAATTCCACTTTTAGGTATTTACCCAGGAGGGATGAAAACATAGCTTATAAAAAGATCGAAATGATAAATTTATAGCCTAATTACATTAGCCTGAAACTGAAAACTTACCTGGAAAGTCCACTAAACAGAGAATTAACTTAAAAAGTGTGGTAGATTGATACAAAGTATAATATTCATCAGTAAAACGGAATAAATATTTATTGATATATACAACAACATGTATTAGTCCCATATACATTATACTGAGGAAAAATAAGCCTGTACATCCTATATGTTTCACATAAGTTCATATTGTATATTTTACAGAACTGCATGAAGGTCTAGAACAAATAAAACTGATAGGAAAAATGTTACTTTGTCAGTGCATTAAATGGTAAAAATATTAGAAACATTCTATTTCTTTATAGAGGCATATGTGTTACACAGATCTATCCATTTATCAAAATTCATCAAATTGTTTACTTAGTATTTTTGTATTTCAATGTATATAAATATCTCAAAAACTATAAAGAAATGAAAACTACTGAGATCATTCATAATTGTAAATAAATTGAGGTGATTTAATCTACACAGATCATAGTACTTTTGGTAATAAGCTGTGGCCTACTAAGATGGCTCCTATAGAATTTTTGAACCAATTAATGAAAGAATAAAGAGGAAAAAATTAGATAACTATAGTTGACTTACACAACATTTTTTCAGGTGCTCAACTGTTTATACATAGTAAATTGAACGACTTTGATGACAAGGACAGTCCCAGAGAGGGGAAAAATCCCTAAGATAAAAATATATTTTCTCCTTAGAATATTAGGCTCAGGAAAGGAATTTCCAGTTCCATTGTAAATTTAGAATGGCAGGGGGAAATTGAAATACACCATTTAATAAATTCACAACTTCTTCTATCAAAGAAGTAGAAATGGAAAACCTTTCTTACACCAGGGTTTATTATTACTATAGACTAATTCTCTTCTCTATCCTCTGTTTTCCTCTACAGAAGAACAATGACTACTTTGGGAAATTGTTCCAGTAGAATAGGAAAGCTCTTATGTCTCCAAAGTCAATTAGTTTTTCTTTCTGTAAGTGATGAGGAGCAAATGTGCATTTCTTATAAAGACAAAGGGATCTTCACCAAGGCTGGAAATGGTTATGAATTCACCAATAATTAAAGGAAAGAATTCCATGTATTTTTTCATAGTCAAATGAAACAGTGACATTTGGACTTTAATCCTTTTTAAGTTGTTTTTGTACTAATCCTGGCTGTATCTATGGGTTTTTTACCTTAATTCATCTTCAGCCTACATCTATACCCTTTCTTCAATTCTCATTTTAATTGGCACTCTGCTTGATGCTTTGGCAAATGTTTTTCTTTTAAGTTTCCTAAATAGAATATTCTACACTTAGGAGCTGACCCAGAAAACTATGGGCACCAAATTAAAGATTAAGCATTTAATCAGAAATAATGAATTGCACTTTGGTCCTGCAAGAAATAACATATTCAGAGCCTCTCTGGTGGTGCAAGGGGTTAAGACACAATGTATGAAGCTATCTGCAGCCACTACAGCACGAGTTCAATCCCCAGCCAGGGAGCTACCCATATGGCACAGCAGACCTCTCCTGACTCACCCACTGCTCCCCTCAGCAGTGTATTTCAGTCAATCTGCCTGTTCTGTTCCCCACTCTGTCCCTGGTGAATCTTCTCACACCCCACACGTCTGGCCTGTACCCCAGTTCTTGTATGCATAAATAAATAAATCTTTAAAAAAAGAAATAAATTCAGAAGACAAAAAGCATATCATTTTTAAATCAGTACTTCTCAAATATTTGGTGTAGTATACACAAGTTTATTTCAATAACAGAAGACAGAGATTATTTTTCTTTCTTCTGAACCAAATGGATGACTCAAATTATAAAAATAATTCCCTCATTCTTTACACCAACCTTGTCTTCTTGGAGAACCCAAAATAACAGAGGACAGAATACAGGCTTTCTAGACAGAGATCTGGAAGTCTTGACTCTGCCATGCTGAGCAAGTTACTGAATCTTAAAATGCTCCTGTTACCTTCCTTCTTGCTTGTTCTTAGGATATAGAGACCTCTAGAATTGTTTTATAGTTTATACACACATACACCCATGGATAACAGTGACTTCTAGAATTGTTTTATATTTTACACACATACACACACACGCACATGCACACACATGCACACACACACACATGCATGCGAGACCCAAATGCAAGGCACAGTACTTGGCACAAACAAAGCACTAATAAAACTAGAATTTGTTCAATCTGGCTCCCAAATGAAATAACAATTTATTCATCAGACAGAGTCTTGCCCTCAAGTCATGAGCACTGCTATTCCCCAATTCATTTGGCCTTCACAATTTATGAATGCACTGAATTAGAAACACAAAATGACCATCTTCCACATTAAATTTCTAACCCATCATTTGGAACACTTACCAAATGCTACTCTGGCTAGTTAGTTACAAAAGAAATATAAGCATAAAAGACTATCATTGTACATTATTATAATCTACAAAAAAATTATTATCCCTCATTTTGTACTAGTTCAGAAAGAAAAATTCTTCAGAAAATATACATATATCAAAGACAACTACCCTGAACAGTACACCACTTATTTATATAGGCACATCAAGTATTTTAAATGACATTACGTAATTTTTAAAAGGCTTCTTTGATTAAGAAAATATGGTAAGTAAATTAGGAAATGAACAATTTAATTTAAAAGCTTGTTTTGTTTCACATCAACAAATAAACCAAATATTTTCCAATGGAGAAAAGAATCTCTTTGGCATAATAAAAGTACAGAATGAGGTTTTGCTTGTGACTCATTTTCCAGAAACCTAAGTACAATATTTGGGGGCATATATTTAAAGTGGTGATATGATTCAGTCTTTAAATGTAAAAAAGAAGACATGTTGGCCATTTATTTTGTTGTATTTTCATATATCAAAGTCACATGTAATGTGATTATGATTCAGAAGTATGGGTTTAGAGACATTACTTGGCAACAACATATAAAGCAGGTTTAAAGTTTTTATTCCTCCTAACATTAAATATGTGTGAAAACCTGATAGTAGTAAAGAGAGGGGGACCATAACAATTGACTTATTAAATTGAATCAATGAATGTGTCACTTGATATGCTTGAGAAAATGTTCTTTGATTTCTTAAAATGTGCATGTTATTCATGATATCATTTGGGCATTTAAATTTTAAGAATTTAGTGCAATGAATAAAATAAAGCATTAATACAAAATAACTCCATTCACAAGCAAACTCATTTTATATTACTGAATTTGCATTAACTCTGCATTAAAGTTCTTACTACTAAATGGGAATACAGTGCCTACTCCACAGTAGATATGAAATACTTTAAAATAGAAGGCATTAATTTTATACAGTTTGGTAACATTGTGATGTCCCTTGTGAACATTCTATGCAAACATAATTTAAAATGCAGTGTGGTTAATTTTTCAGTAATTCACTTTGACAGATTTGGTACATACATAGGTTGACTTTAAATACTAACAATCTACTTTTAAAGTCCACTGTCAATGTTCACTAATAATCAAATATGATTAATTTAGTCAGTTGGCTCCTGGCACTATCTTCAGTAATGAAAAATTATCATAAGCCAATATATCTTGATTGCAACAGCCTATACCTTTATTGCCCAGATTCTTCTCACATCAGGTCTATAATGAAAAGCTAAGTCACAAACAGAGATAGTAGAAGGGACACAATGGGACCACTGTTCTCTGGAACAAACCAAATTCTCAATAACTCATAAGGTAATTTGAGGGCTTTCATTACATAATCCTTCAGCAAACAAATTCCACAGATTATTTTCATTTAACAGTTCAGTCAGTGTATATCTTCATAAACTTAATCCATAAAATAAATTAAAAGTAAATCAAAGCATATGTTTAAAGTCTTAGATTCATGGAGAAAACAGCTGAAAAACATTTAAGCAAAAATTAAAGTGTTGTTGGTTTGGCAGCAGGGGTGGGTTCTCAAGATAGATAACCCGTTTCAAATGGTGTGTTCCAGTCTCCTCTCAACCCCATTCATAAAGTGCCTTTCTGTTATGCAATGGGATCACTCTGCTTGGTTAATGAACACAGGCTGATGTTTAGCATTCACTGGTTGTACATACAAAAGAGAAAGCATCATTCATCTTAAAAACAAAACTTAAGCAAGATGCTTAGGCAGAAGTAGATTTGCAGTGAAGTCATTTGCATTTCTAAAAGAAAAAAAAAGCAAATCTAATAATGTGACTTAGAACATACAATAAATGTACACATCACTTCGGAAAGCTCAGCGGGAGGTCCTGGAAAGGAAGGAATAAACCAGTTCTGTGGACAATGATAAAGGGCTGTCATACCTCTGGAATAAGCCAAGCCGCAATGTATTTTCTACTTTCGTTGATAATACCAGGACCCTAAACGAAGAAAGGGGACTTTGGGTCGCCTAGCATTGGATTCTTCTTACCTAAAATTCTTACCCAAGCGGGATCCGCTCTATCGCGATTCCAATATAGCTCAGCAATCACAAAACTGGTCTTGAGTCGGTGCGCTTGTACCGTGATCACAAATCAGAAAACCCAAGAGGTAAAATCAATGCCAACAGGAGATCACACGATCCTCTGACTTTTGTTTGCTCGGGTTTATATTTTCAGCAGACACACTTAGCTTCCTGGGGAAGCCTAAAAGATAATACCCCTATCCCTCAACAAGACAGTCCCAAACACAACCACACGGAGTGTACAGGAACCCAATTCTGTCCCCAGGACCAAGTCAGAATCTCATCTTCCCAGGTAGCCGCCTACATCCTCCCTTAGGCACAGTTTGGAGCGAGGGAAAAAACATTTCTCTCCATTCTTCCCGAGGCCACACTTTCTGTACAGACCCACCTGCATGGGAGCTTCGTGTCTCATTGTTCGCAAAATGTCCTTTCTCACTGGCTTGGACAGTGGTGGCCCGGGTGCCTGGTCAAGCGTGCACAGCCCGCGCGCTCCGCGCTCCACACGCTGCACTCTCGGGGTACGCTAACCGGCTCCAACATCAGCACCGGAGCTGTCCCTTCCTGGAGCCGCACACGCGTACTGGCCGCGAGCCCCGTACTCTCCTGGGAATTGTAGTCTCCGCCAGTCGCGCTTCCCCGCAAACTGTGGAAGAGTGAACTACATCTCCCGACAAGCCAGCACACAGAGGCTGCCTACTCCCGTCGCAGACCCGGCCGCCAAGCCTCCCTTCGCCTCCTCTGGAATCGCTGTTAGTGGTTACCGCTCTCGGCTTATTTCCCCAAGAGGAGCAGGCAAAAAAGTGACCACAGCTCATCTCAGCTGGATTTTTTTTTTCTTTGCTATCGATACGCCTTTCGAAGCTAACTTGTGATTTCATGGTTGGAAAAAGCATTACCTTGTGCTAATTGCCAATACAAATGAAGCCTGTGCTGCGTTCTGGGACTCCATCATACACCTCTCTATCCCGAATTGGGAAAGTTTGATACATTTCCCTAGGCAGAGTGGGGTGGTATTACAATCTCATTCAACAAACGCGGAAGAGAAAGACGGTAAATGGCACACAAATAAAGAAAGTGGTCTATTCACAATTGCATTGAGATAGCGCGCACACACGAGCGCGCGTGCGTGCACACACGCACACGCACACACACACAAAGTCAAAGCAAGATTTTGCTCACAGCAACCAGAGGAACTACTCTCTTCTCCTGCTTACCTTTCCGTACAGCTCCATGGCAACTCGAGGTTCTGAAATCCTCAAGTAATTCCTCCTGCTACAAATGAGGATAGGGTCTTGCGTAGAAAGCGGGGTTAAAATAAAGCACAACACAATGGAAGGGCTGGGGGTGGCGGCTGGCGGAGGGAGAAATGAGGGACGGGAAGAGGACAGCTGATAGAGATAGATGGCTTCTTCCCCCAGAGAGAAAGCGTGGAGTCTTCAAGGGGCAGCTGCAGAGAAAGGACTGAGAGTCTCTTAGGAAGTGTCAGGGGCCCGCTAGCGCTGGGCGGCCCCTCCCCAGACCCTCCCACAGGCACCTTGTACCGTCATTAGCGCACACTGTAGCTGCTGGCCACGAACTCGAGAGCTGATAGGGCACTGGGTTATTTACCCAAAGCAAGTCACATAAAACGAACACGTTCATCATTCGAACTCAAAAGCACCGTCACACAATGAGATAGAAGATGTCCATTAAGCTGTCCTATCCTTTTTAAGAACTGTCATTCCTTACATTAAGTACTCCTCCCAGTCTAGTTTAAAATCGACTTGATACCCCCAAACTGTACTTTTATTCTACTTATCTTTTCCACTTGATTGTCAAATATTTGTGTCTATCCATGTTCACTGTACCTAGCTAAGAGTAAAGGTTAATCAGTCCAGCTACGATCCCTGTCTTCTACATGCAGTGAAAATGATGCTATTGGAGGCTGAGTAGAAAAGGAAGGAACTTGATATTGGCAGAAATGTTTGTACTTAAGAACTTAAACAGCTTGGGACTTCATTGCATTAGGCAAAACAAAGGTTCTGATATTTAAATGTGCTTAAGAATCTCTTGGGGGAGTTTTAAAAATTCGTATTCTCAAGGCATGAACATTAAGATTCTGATTCACCAGATGTAATGAGAAGCCTTATAGTTAGCATTTTAAACCAACACTCCAGCAGTTCTGATACAAGTGGCCTTGTGTCATAATTTGAGAAACTCTGCCATAGAAGAGTTTACATGTAAGATTTTTTCAAAGACTCAGACTTGAAAATTTTCATAATATTGATTCAATACTAACACAACAACAATGTAATTGGTATGTCCTGTTAATTTTAATCTTTTTGTTGTTTGTAAAGAAATCTAAAATTTGTCTTCCAAACTTGCAGTTGATGTGAAAGTGATGCAGTATCATCTACATAAACTGCTTTTATAATTACTCAGAAAGTACATTTAAAAATATTACTCAATAGTTGGGGTTATATGTGATAGTTACAGCAATTTCATTTAAATTAGCTAATAAATAAAATTAAAAAGTAAAAGAAAATCCAATTTTTGGACTATCATCATCTGAAATTCTCAGAATTCAGTCTGATATGACAGAACATACTTAAATATTACAAATGTTGAAGTATTAAAAATTTACTATTCTTTGAGAAGTTCATGCCTTCTTAACATTTTATTAAAATGATATCTCTCCTCAGTTTTCCAGTATGTCTTTTATTTGTGAAATAACCCATTAAAATTGAGTTTAAAAAACAAAGTTACAGATGGTTTTTAGGAACTCAAAAACCATCTCTTTCTCGTGTTTTCATTGGGAATTTAAGTGACTTATGGGGTCGGGGGTTGGGGATGGCAGGTAACTAGCCAGGGATCAGCTACATAAACAAAAGTAGTCTGGAACTGATTACCTCCCTAAAGTCAGAACAGAAATATATAGCTTTGTTTGAAATCAGGCCACCATCTATGAATGTCATTCCCAAGACACCAGATGACTGCTCTTACACCCACATTGTGACACCTCAAAGAAAGGATGAAGAAGGGTATTGCCCCAACATTTTGAATAACCACTGTTCCTATATTACCTTGTCTAGTGCCTGATCTTATCATTATCTCATTCTAAGGGAAGCTGGGAAATGTAGCCCTTAATCTGGCTAAACATGTGCCCTGCTGAAAACGGAATTCTGTTCCAAAGCAAGATGGAAAAATAACAGTCGTCTCTACCACAGGACATCAGGGGGACTATAAGATCAACCTTGATGCTCTTTTCCTTTTGCAATTTTACTAAAATGTAAATGTCTAACTATGTAGAAATTTATCTGTTTTGAAGGATCTCTATGATTTAACAATAGTCAAAAACTTACAATCAAGGGATCATCTAAAAGCTAGTATATGCTGGCTCCTGTTGAATAAACAGGAAAGAGGGAAATTTTTTTATATATCATATGAATCTAGGGTTAAGAATCAGTATTTAAAATATTTTTAAAGGCAGAATTTGGTTAACAGAAGGCAAAGGAGCCACATGTGAATGGAACATGATGCACTTCGCTAATTAGACTAAAAGCAGCTTCAAAGGGCCTATTCAGAAGGACACTTGCTTAGGATCATACAGTTCACTAGAAGGACAGCTGGGATGAGAGAATTCTTAAATCTTTGTCTTTGAGTTAGTGTTCTTTTCACTGTCCCACATCACTGTTCATTATTGATTGGCTTTTTACTACTATAGGTGTATCTGACATTTACAAGTATTCACTTTGTTGTTCTTATTAATCTAGTTCATTCTTTGTTACTGACAGTCCATGTCTCTCTTAAGTCTATTAAACAGTATTAAGTTCTGTCAAGTAGGGGCAAATGGGGATAATTTTCTTGGCTAAAATAGACCCAAGAAGAAGAACAATAATTATTATTTAATAATGATGATGTTGTTAACTCAAAAATAGCAAAAAGGTATTTTGTTTTGACCACTGTCATTATTTGTTAGGACTTACACTGAAAAATGAGTGTGATTTGGTATGGGAGATAAGGATGCCCCTGAGGATTCACTTACTTCCTAATGCAAACCTGCCTCAAACCCACAGCACAAGAATGTGGCTGGATGTCTAATCCCAGACTGTTTCTAGTACCATTTCCAATCAAGCAGGAGAATTTTCTATCCTGTGCCCAGTTATCATGGTCTGACTTTGCAGTCAGGACTGTTTTTGATTTCAGCTTTTGTGCAGCATCCATATCTACAAATGTTGTTGATTGTTTCAAGTTCTCTTGGGAAAATATTAAACATCTCCATGATGTTACTGATTTCTTCTTAATTAAAAGGAAACATCATTTTAACTCACTCCTGCTTATAATGTTTTCAGTCTCATACACAATATATGTAAGGTACTTTGTAAAAAAAAAATAAGTGTATTCCAATTGAATGAAGAGAAAGTGAAAGTTTTCTCCCATAATATAAATATACTATTAATGACAGCTACACTTTCTTCAACACCTACTTTGTCCACTTTATTCCATCTAATTGTCAACATACTTCACGGTACTTTAACCTTATTTTATAAAGGAGATTAATAGAGAGGTTAGGTATTTTGCTTACAAATACCTAGCTGATAAGATATTGGATTTAAAGCTCAAAGGCTTAAGGAATTCAAGGATTTAAAGCTCAAGATTATCTGATTCCAATTCCTAGACTCCTCTCTATAATTTTTCTCCTACATAAAAGGTAATATTAAAAATTAATGTTACTTTCAAAAATAATATGTTCTATAATATCTTACAAAGAAGTTTCACTGAACTTTGTTAATTGTTGAACTTTGTTAATTTGTTGTTAATCTTGCTTGAGAATAAAGATATTAGGTATCCTGTCATGGAATTACTAGGTTATATCTTTTCATGTAACACTTTTTAATTTAAAAACTGTCAACATTCTCAGATAAATACAGATTCATTTGATTCACTAGAAGTTTTGTTAAGGAATTTGTCCAAAATTCAGATCTCTTGATGAATGGTATATATTACATTTTCAACTCATAGAAGTCAGTTTTAGAACCGTTTAAAAAGAAAAAGATAACAGGCTCCAAATGGCATCATGCTCGGCCTCCAATGGGACTAATACCTGGGCTGACTTAATACCTAGCCTAATTGCAGTTTCATCTCTCACAAAACTGTAATTTTTATACCAATCATTCTGGAACTTCCTGAATGGCACTGGTAAGGTGATGTGCATAAAATCTCCCTGCCCTTTCCTAAAGGAAGATGGTTTTGCCTGGAAAACAATTCTTTCTAATCATTCTTTCCTTTGCTAGTAACCTGTCCCATCCTCCATCTGATTATAAATACTTTCAATGTTGTGCCAGCCCACGAAGTACCTTTCTACTTGCTAGATGGGATGCTACCTGATTCATGACTCCTTGCAATAAAGCCAGTGAGAGCAGTAATTTTCTTCTGTTGAATTTTAATTTTCAACAGAAAAAAACCACAATTTTAATTATTCAATTATGAGAAGAGGTGAGAAGTACTAAACATTTCATACAAAGTACTTATTAAGCTACAGGTTTCAGACCGGTATAAAGATTAAGTGACACACATCTTTATTAAGTTACAGGGTAACGCCAAAGAGACATCATTATCATCTTTAAAAATAATTCCACTCCTGGGTGCCTCCCCGGTGGCGCAGCGGTTGAGCGCTGGGTTGCGAAGCTGCCCGCAGCCTCTGCAGCGCTGGTTCAATCCCTGGCTGCTCCCCGGCCACCAGAGGAGGGTCCCACATGGCGCGCAGACCTCTCCTGCTGACCGCTGCTCCCCTCAGCAGTGTACTTCGGTCCTTCTGCCTGCTCTGCTCCCCGCTCTGGCTCTGGTGAATTCTCTCACCCACAGCCCCCCCACCCGCGCTTCTGTCTGTACCCAGTGCTTGTATAAATAAATAAATACATCTTTAAAAAAAAAATAATTCCACTCCTGGGTATTTACCCAAATGACACAGAAACAGTAATTCCAAAGGGCACCTGCATGCCTATGTTTATAACAGCACCATTTACAATAGCTAAACTATGAAAACAACCCAAATGCCCAAAAACAGATGACTGGATCAAGAAGATGTGGTATATATACACAATGGAATATTACTCAGCAATCAAAAAAGAT